TGTAGGGAAGTCCTGTTCAATTTACTCATCAAAAGTTACTTCGGTGCTGTTTAAATGCTGTGGGGCAATTAGTTTGGCCGCGGGAAGGCCTTTCCTGCTCTGCAGGCCTGTGTATCACCTTGATACCTTTTGCATAGTCTAATGACTCTATGCTGATCTTCAAACCCAGGAGCTATACCTTGTGGGTAGAACGTGTGCTGGACAATTACTAGGCTGACGTGCCAAATACTGCAGTTCTGTAAAACAACAGGACGCTTTGAATAGGTGACCTTGAAACTGCGATAATGACCTCTCTGTGTGTTCTTGGCCTAGTACTGAAAATGGGAGATATTGAGAAGGGCAAGAAGATCTTTGTCCAGAAATGTTCCCAGTGCCATACAGTTGAGAAGGGGGGCAAGCACAAGACTGGACCCAACCTGAATGGCCTGTTTGGACGCAAGACTGGGCAGGCTGAGGGCTTCTCCTACACGGATGCTAATAAGAATAAAGGTAAACTTAAAGCTGCTGTTCTGAGTTACTAGGAGCAAAAAGATTTTGTTCTCGGTGGTAGTTCCAGAAGTACTGAAACCTACCAAGAAGTAAAATAATATGGAGGACAACCATAGAAATGTTTTATTCTGAAGCCACTAACTATTCTTTCTTTTCTCTAGGTATCACCTGGGGTGAGGATACTTTGATGGAGTACTTGGAAAATCCAAAGAAGTATATCCCAGGAACAAAGATGATTTTTGCGGGTATTAAGAAGAAGACCGAGAGAGTAGACTTAATAGCATACCTCAAAGATGCCACTGCAAAGTAAAAATCATCTGCTGCCTTATTTATTTCACAAAGGAGATGGCAATGGAAATGTCTGTGATAAGATTGGTTTTTAAACTTTCTATTTTTACATGTACTGTGTCTAATCTTAAAAATCTGTCTCACCCATCAGGTAACACTGCTCGTGGTGGGTCACTGGAGTACACACGTGTTTGGCAGCCGTTAACTTAATGCAAACTATGTAATTGGGTTGATTTAAATGACTATAATGTTCACTCATTCTTGGTCATAGAATTAAAAAAAGAAAAGAATAAATAAACATTTCCTGCCTCTTCATTGTTTAAAAATAATCTATAAATAATCAAATTAGTAATTGTCAATAGCATAATGGCTTTGGCAGCCCAACTCCTCAAGATTAAAAAGCAGGGTGGTTTATGGCATCTTCCACCATACTTATTTTGTTTCAGTATTTTGACTGTGTGTATATATATATACATAAAGAAAACAAACCACCCAAAACAAAGGCTACAAAAACTCACAAAAACCCCCATGATAATATTTTTCTAAATTTGCTCAGTGCTAGGTGTTGTGGTATATGTTAATCTGTTAAAAGCTTGTGATAAGGATGCATTTCATCTGACTTAAGTACTATTTGTGAAATGGTAGTTGTGCCCAGCCATTCTTCTTTTCTCTAGGGGAAGCACGTTTCCTAATTCATCCAGATTTTGACAGCTGCATGCACCAGTAGTTTATAACTCCCTGTCAGAAACATCTCCAGTTTTTTAAATGTTATTCAAACTCTATTGCTCAGTAAGTCTTCTGAAAAGAGCAGAAAAATATCCTGTTCTGGAAATACAAATGCTAAAGGCCAAGCAGAGAGTTATTTAATCTTAATAATTCAGGACAAGTATTCACCTATAATCTACTGTTACAGACAATTTCAGATGAAGGGGTACAGGAATGAATGTGCTGGTAGCCTACATGAAGACAGTCTTCCTCTGTGCCTGGCTGTAGCCAATGTCATGACTTCAAAAGGTTCTATTTCGCACAGTGTAAAGCATTTTTAATGTTTTAACTGCATTTTTTTCATATTAAGTGAAATGTTCAGATGAATGTATTTTCTTTGTAACAACAGTAAGGCATAACTCAGAGCAATCAATACTGTAAATTAAAAAAAAAATAATTAAAAGTTTTGTTTGCTGTATGTGTCTGAAATGAAGTGAAAGACAGTTGAAATATAGAGAAAAGTGGGACTTCCAGCTTTACATCAGTAGGAAATGAGACTCAGAAAAGCTTGACATGAAAAAAAGTGAAAGCTAATAGATTTGGTTTGAAAAGTATGTACAAATGTGACAAATGTAGGAAGTATTTTGGACTGCAAATAGCAAAGCTAAGCTCTTCCACTGGGGATGTATTAAACAGCACTTCTGCCGTGTTTTCGAAGTGGGACAGGAGAAAACACAAAGTAGCTTTAGAGCTGCAGCTGTGCTGTAGGATTGGCTGAGTTTGAGTTAGGGCAGGTAGAATGGTGTGCTTAGAGACTGAGTTTCTAAGGGCTGTTATTCAGAATTAATGGGTGAAAACATTACTAACAGGTTGCCTTCAATGGTTGCTACATGTTTTGTGACTCTCAAACTAGATATGGAAGCAGCATTTCCTGCAAATAGGAATTTTCTAGTTTTCAGAAATGGTGTTCGTTGTGGCGCTTTTGTGGCTATGCAGAACCTGGCTTTCACTGTGTCAAAATCCTGATAAAGCAGTTGTGGATTATAGAATGTAACTCTACACAGCTCTGCTGTCTTCTTAAATTATTGTGGAGAGAGAGTTGTGACACTTTTCTTCTGTCAGCACCTTTGTGATATGAAAAAAGAATTTGTGATCTTCAAGCACCTTTTCTTCCCTTGTTAAGCTAGAGAAGAATGGACTGTAGAGAAGAGGATTTTAAAGCAAGGTGGCATTTATTTCTGCACAGGCAACAATTTGTAAAAAGTAAGATATCCATCATCAGAAAAACTGCTTCAGGAGAAAGCGAAGTGATCCTTTGTCCAAAGTAAGTAAGTGACACAAGTCAGCTTGGTTTGTTCTATGTGTGTCTCAGAGACCTTAGTACAAAGGCAAGTGCAACTTACACATACCACTGAAGATGAGGAAAATTGAACTTTTTAAATTCTAGACTGGGAATGCCTCCTTGTTTACAGTTTGGGGAAGGGACCCTTCTGACCTTTAAAATTTCAACTTTGAATGTATACAGCCCTAGACAGCAACAGCTTGTAAGATTTGCTGAGGCCATTTACCTCCAGAAAAACAGCACAACAGTATTTCTACTAGTGGATCACTGAAGTAATGTTGAAATGGGATAAGGTTACATTATTGCTTGTTGAGATAAGTATTCATGACAGTGCCTGGCTGGGTTGTTTGGTGGGTGGGAAGGAGGTGTCCAAATTGGTTGTGGAATCAAGCTTTATAGCAGAGTATGAAGAGTGGGGTTTGCTTAGTTTCATGAAGTAGCAAGTTCGGTGTTTTTCTTTTTGATAGTGGTATCAGTCTAAATGTTTGGTATTTCAGTACTACTTTTACAGTACCAAATTAGGGAATCATGGCACCATTGCCAGGCATTGCACCATCCCATAAAAATGGTTCTTGGCTATGAGCTTATAGATTTGATGGGGCATGACTTTGAAACTGATCTTGTGATAATGTTCACATGTAGTTACACAAATGCATGTAGATTGTGAATGTCGGTAATGACTGGACAAAAGTAGCTTTAGAGCTGCAGCTGTGCTGTAGGATTGGCTGAGTTTGAGTTAGGGCAGGTAGAATGGTGTGCTTAGAGACTGAGTTTCTAAGGGCTGTTATTCAGAATTAATGGGTGAAAACATTACTAACAGGTTGCCTTCAATGGTTGCTACATGTTTTGTGACTCTCAAACTAGATATGGAAGCAGCATTTCCTGCAAATAGGAATTTTCTAGTTTTCAGAAATGGTGTTCGTTGTGGCGCTTTTGTGGCTATGCAGAACCTGGCTTTCACTGTGTCAAAATCCTGATAAAGCAGTTGTGGATTATAGAATGTAACTCTACACAGCTCTGCTGTCTTCTTAAATTATTGTGGAGAGAGAGTTGTGACACTTTTCTTCTGTCAGCACCTTTGTGATATGAAAAAAGAATTTGTGATCTTCAAGCACCTTTTCTTCCCTTGTTAAGCTAGAGAAGAATGGACTGTAGAGAAGAGGATTTTAAAGCAAGGTGGCATTTATTTCTGCACAGGCAACAATTTGTAAAAAGTAAGATATCCATCATCAGAAAAACTGCTTCAGGAGAAAGCGAAGTGATCCTTTGTCCAAAGTAAGTAAGTGACACAAGTCAGCTTGGTTTGTTCTATGTGTGTCTCAGAGACCTTAGTACAAAGGCAAGTGCAACTTACACATACCACTGAAGATGAGGAAAATTGAACTTTTTAAATTCTAGACTGGGAATGCCTCCTTGTTTACAGTTTGGGGAAGGGACCCTTCTGACCTTTAAAATTTCAACTTTGAATGTATACAGCCCTAGACAGCAACAGCTTGTAAGATTTGCTGAGGCCATTTACCTCCAGAAAAACAGCACAACAGTATTTCTACTAGTGGATCACTGAAGTAATGTTGAAATGGGATAAGGTTACATTATTGCTTGTTGAGATAAGTATTCATGACAGTGCCTGGCTGGGTTGTTTGGTGGGTGGGAAGGAGGTGTCCAAATTGGTTGTGGAATCAAGCTTTATAGCAGAGTATGAAGAGTGGGGTTTGCTTAGTTTCATGAAGTAGCAAGTTCGGTGTTTTTCTTTTTGATAGTGGTATCAGTCTAAATGTTTGGTATTTCAGTACTACTTTTACAGTACCAAATTAGGGAATCATGGCACCATTGCCAGGCATTGCACCATCCCATAAAAATGGTTCTTGGCTATGAGCTTATAGATTTGATGGGGCATGACTTTGAAACTGATCTTGTGATAATGTTCACATGTAGTTACACAAATGCATGTAGATTGTGAATGTCGGTAATGACTGGACAAAAGGTAAAATTCAGAAATACAGTTTTTCATAGTATGACTTCAAAACCAAAATTAAACAGGTAAGATACTTTTAAAATTATAGAAGCTATGTACATCCCAGTGAAATTTGAATTATACAGAAGCTCATCTTTAGTTTAATAATTCAAGTATAACCACTACAAACAGCTACATTTAGGAGAGTTTCATTTGCAGCTGTCCATGCAATTGTAGGTTTCATTAAAGATCTGTTCATTTTAATAGGTCTGGTCTTGTGTGGGATTGTATAATACTTTCCATTTTTTTGGTATAAAATACGGTATCAGTGACCCAAAATAAATGTGACACGTTATAATTCTTTTATGAAGGAGAACAGAAATTAAATAGTTAAGACCTATGAGATCTTCCAGTCTCTCATGTATATAAGAGGCCGTTGAAGTGCACACTTTTACCTTTGCAGTAAGCATCATTTGCCTTTGTCTAAAATACAGCCTAAAAATTCTCCCAAGGCCAAAGCCAACAGAAGTCTGTTACTGCACATAGGATGAGTTGAACTGTATCATAGAATCATAGAATCTTAGGGGCTGGAAGGGACCTCGAGAGATCATCTGGTCCAACCCCCCTGCCAGAGCAGGGTCACCTAGAGTACATCACACAGGAACTCATCCAGGTGGGTTTTGAATGTCTCCAGTGAGGGAGACTCCACAACCTCCCTGGGCAGTCTGTTCCAGTGCTCTGTCACTCTCACAGTAAAAAAATTTTTTCGGATATTCACCTTGAACTTCCTATGCTCCAATTTATACCCATTACCCCTTGTCCTATCACTGGTCATCACCGAGAAAAGCCTAACTCCGTCCCCCTGACACTCACCCCTTACTTATTTGTAAACATTGATGAGGTCACCCCTCAGTCTCCTTTTCTCCAAGCTAAAGAGACCCAGCTCCCTCAGCCTTTCCTCATAAGGGAGATGTTCCACTCCCTTAATCATCTTCGTAGCTCTGCGCTGGACTCTTTCAAGCAGTTCCCTGTCCTTCTTGAACTGAGGGGCCCAGAACTGGACACAATACTCCAGATGTGGCCTCACCAATGCAGAATAGAGGGGGAGGAGAACCTCTCTTGACCTACTAACCACACCCTTTCTAATGCACCCCAGGATGCCATTGGCCTTCTTGGCCACAAGGGCACATTGCTGGCTCATGGTCATCCTCCTGTCTACCAGGACCCCCAGGTCTCTTTCACCTACACTACTCTCCAGCAGTTCAGCCCCCAACCTGTACTAGGACATGGTGTTGTTCT